AACATCAAACAGAAAGTAACACAACATTCAACCATAGGTTGAGGAAATATATCAATACATGTTATGTGTACAAGAAAGCAGGTGGGAGCTAAGGATTGCGTCAAATATTGCTGTAAATCAACCTGCAGATGACATATTCAGTAGTACCGAGACAGACCAAGATCTTGCTGATTACCGAAAGTGTTATTGAAAGAGTTTCATTCGATAAATTAAATAAATGTAAGGGACATTGCCTAGTCATCGCCTCAAGTACTTTCTGCAAAAGTAAGCTGAAGTGAAAAGGGGAGCGCGGGTCAGTCTGGGCAACGCAACTAACCGTAGTTATTCCGGGGCGGGCCAAAATAGGTACCTCTTTGATCTAAATACGAACCCCAGGCGTAAAACCCAGACCCAAGTGGACTGTCATAAAGATCAAGTCACTTGTTGACCCGCACTCAAATCAAGGCACAAGAAAGTTGCATCATATGAGCGCGGATGACGGCAAGGTAAATGAAAGGATGATATTTTCTGTCACAAGCTCTTGGACTAGTACTACTTGTGGTTAGTAATAAATTGAAGAGAAACAGAAAGATACAGCTGATTGACGCAGGTTCAGTAGCATTACCTGAAACCTAGCAAGTGACATAAATGACATTCATTTGAATAAATTAATGTAAAGTACAAACTACTGAATTCATGGTTCAGGCCCAGGTTTTATTATGTTCAGCTAGTGAGGCCGATTGAGTATAGAAAATGGACGATATCTGGTAAAGACGGCAATGAAAATTCAGCCAAATAGTATATCCTTCCATCAATAAGCGGAGAGCTGAAAAGTTAAGATTGGAGATCTGTTATTGAGAGAAACCAAGAACATGGTCAAGATTCACCTTTTCCAATCTTCTCTTGAAAGTAGCACTATTGACAGAGGCAAGAATTTTTGGGGGAAGCAAATTAAACCATCTTGCGCTGCGACAGAACACGTTATTGAAGAACAGGGAGCGGTATTTGTTACCAATGCGAGCATAATGGAGATTGAACCTCCCTTGCCTCCCACTAGTCGGTCTGAAGATCCAGTACTTACTGGCACACAATTTCGATTCTCCACGGAGGATGCGAAAGCAGAAAACAAGGTCAGATAATGCGCGCCTATGGTGCAGCGTCCTAAGACCGAACATTCTTAGTCGTTCTTCATAACTGGGTAAATTATTTCGACGATAGTCGTGTGTGATTCTGTACCATAGGAGCCGTGTAAATACACGCTGTACTTTTTCGATTTTTGCAATATTCTTCTTAGAACATGGGCTCCAGACTTGTGAACAATATTCAACATGTGGCAATACACAAGCCTTATAAAGACGGCTGAGTATAGCTACATCCGAACATTGTATATTACGAAATAGTAGAAAAAGGTTGGTGAATGCCTTCTTCACAGCATGATCAATATGAAGGGAGAACTTCAATCTGGGATCAAAGAGAACACCAAGGTCTCTACTGCATTGGCTTAATGTGAGCTTAACACCACTGATGTAATAATCCACTGGGTAGGTATCACCAATGTGCATAACCATGGATTTGCTCAAATTAAGGGGAATATCCCATTGCAAAGCCCAATCAGTCATTCTCTGGAAAGAGCATTTCAGAGCATCACGAATCATACCACAGTTATATTGGTCATAAGTTGCATAGATCTTAATATCATCTGCAAACATTTGAACTTTTATTTCTGATGATGTTTTTAGCAG